GTCTGTAGGAGAAGTTGGCCTCCCAAGGTGTGGCTGAAGAATGCGGGGAAGCTGTGGCGTGGGCTTAGGAGCTGCTGAATCAGGCCCAGGGGCAAGTCTAGGCTGGCGTCAGGCCTGGGGCTCGGGGCCACATGGGACTTAGGCAATCCTGAAGAGGGTTCCTCCCCAAGTTCAGTCCCACACAACCAGTCTTCTCGGGAACTCCAAACTGGAGATCACTAGAACTAAAACTGCATGGAAGGCAAATGAAACACGAATGCAAACTCACCTGACAGCAATCGTCTTTCTCTGGGAATTCCAAAAAAGAACTGCTCCCAACCCTTGGAGGACTGCGAGAGAGTCAGCGGTCGACGGAACCACAGACCCAGAAACAAAGGCCACAGGTAGACTAAGAAGCGAAGCTTTACTTCTCAAGTCAAGCACATTCTCAAGGGCATACAGCAGCGTAGACAGAAAAGCCCATTTATTCTTTCACCATCCATCCAACACCATCACAGGCAAAGGTTCGGGAGCAGACCAGAGAAAGCTAATTCTGATCAACCTGATGCCAAGTGAACAAGCAAAAGCCCTAGCAGCATAATCACCTCATTTCCTCACATCTTCCTTATCCACAGGCTGCCTGCGTGATAGAACCTGGAACAGTACGTGCTTGGGTGTCGGTTACAGCTACCTGGTTGTAACCACAGCCCCTCTATTGGGGCTTGTATTGCACGGACTCAGGGAACACGAGGACCTGATAGAAATGTAACTCTTTTTGCTGTTTCGGCCCAGGCAGCTTATTGTATCAGTGACATAAAGGGAACAGGAAGGCCTTTTCCTAAATCCTACCCACACTGTCCTTGTTGATGGCCAAATCTGGTTGTTAGGCAGACGAGCACTTTGCAAGCAGTTCCCCTGAATTCCCACATCCACTCAAGCCAGGTCTATGCTGAGCCCCACAGTGTGGTGACGTGTTGGGTGTTAGAAGTATAAGACATGGCCATGTTAATCCACCTGCTTCTCCAACCATGTCCCTCCTCCCAGCAGAGCTGAGGTCTTTACCTAGTTGGACTGAAGAAAAGTCAATTAAGCAATACCTCCATAAAAATTACCACCAGTTGCTGTCTTCTTCCATACTTAAAAAACAAAAACAAAAAANGCAGGGTGCATTTTTAAAGTTTATTTTTCTTTACTTACCAGTTTGGCAACGATTTAAAATGGGTGACAAAGCGGACAAGAATGTGGGAAAATCAGCCATCTCAGACGCTGGCCAGGAAAGGCAAATGGTGCTGCCACCCTGGCAGTGCACGTCAGTTCTGAAGTGTGCACGCCCTTCACACAGCAAGTCTACCCTTGGAAACGTATTGAGGAAATAACAGTATAAGAAGCACACATCTATACGCACCCTCCACACCCAGGGTTGGGGGTCGCAGCGTTGTTTATTACAGTGTAAAAATGGAGGCAGTCTCATGTTCACTAAAAGCAGATTGGTCAAGTTAGTTCTGGCACATTCAATGACATACTATGCAGCCTTTAAAGAGAATAAGGTCGACTTTTATGCATCCAAATTAAAAGATTCAACTTAACAGTGGTTGTCTCTGGGTCAGGGCAGGGGATAGTTTGCTCAAGTAGTCTACCATAATATACCACAAAAACAATATGGTTATTTCCCTATTTGAAAAGAAAAGACATGTGCAAGGCACTCACAGGACTTTGGTGACTGAACATGAGGAAGAAAGGGGGCAGCTGAGCTTGGTTCTGGAGGTGCTTCCTTTGATGGAGATGTTGGAGTCCCTGGGTGCCATGGCGGGGCTCTGTGTGGCTGGCAGACAACATAAGGGGATTGGGCCTCTTGGGGTAGGAACTCCTGAACGAAAACATCTGGTGCAAAGGAGAAATCTCGTAACTGCCTAAGCCCCGCAAATCCTGTATCAGGGACCCTTTGTGGGAGATGACGACGTAGCACCTCAAGGGCTGGGTACACGAACCTGCGGAGTCAGTCGAGGACCGGCAGGCAGGGAGCTCCCCACCTGAATGGTGCATGGCTGAGGCTGCTAGCTCAGGGACAGTCCCCACTCGCAGACCGCCCTGCTCCTGGCTGTATTTGCAATAACTCCTTTGTTTTCCCCTCCTGTAGCTGTGCCCAGTGAAGGGAGTGGCGCTGGTGTGAGACATACAGCTACTGCCACTCAGGCCCCACAGGTGAGCCCATCGAGCCTCCCGGGGTCTGAAGGACACACTCCGGCGCCAGAATCAGGTAAGTGCTTCTGGTTCCCACGTCCCCATCTCTTACCAGCCAGGCAGTTAATCCTGGAAAGCGCCTCCACAGCCCAGGGGCCCCGAGACCCGTTTATGAGACAGCATGACATGATGAGAAGAGAGAGGATGGGGCCCTACAGTCAGCTCCCTGGCTCCTGAAAGCTCAGGGGAGCAAATTTCCTCGCTGCGGAATCTCCTATTTCTCACCTGCAGAAAGGGAAGGGATAGTCAAAACGGCCCTGCCCACATCGGAGCGCTGTTGCAAACACCCGATGAGATAAGTAAGCGAAGGTACTTTATCAACTATAAAATGCTACATAAGTAGAAAGTAGTCCTGTGAGGAGGGTGTGATTCCTGTCATGATTACAGTGGCTCACGGCCGAAGGCTGAGCTTGTGTATAGGCTCAGAGAACTTGGTTTCCTGGGGTCGAACTGGCCTGGGGAGAGGGAAATAGTTCCAGCACGGCGTGTGGCATCTACTTAATAGATTTATTAGACGGAAGGAGGAAAATGCAGAACAGAAACTGCTGCTTGATGTGGGAGGAGAACCCGCCTTACCCCACGTCACAGCTCTTGCCTTCCAGCCATGAGTTGGTTGGTCTTGCTGTGGCTGAGCAGTGTCCTGGTCAGCAGTTTCTTTTTTTTTTTTCCTTTTTGAAATCTTAAATCACCATGTACCACCTATGGTGTCCAGTAGGCACTCCCGACTGCTGAGAACTTGATGTTTTCAAATGGCAGGAGGAGAATGGGCCCCGAACCAGGCAGCGCTCTGTTTTCCAGGGCAACTCTTTGGAATCCTGAAAGCAGATTTTACTGTCCCAGCCCTGACGGACCCAGAGGATATGAAAGACCAGTTTTTGAGTGAGGTGAGACTTCTGCACACTTCTAGTTTTGATCAGTCCAATGACTTGACAATTGAGCAAGGCAACATGCTCAAAAGCAGTATGATCATTGACAAAGCTTTGGGAAGTGGGCTCATCTGTTCCCGCTGCCATCTCTTCGGCTCATGGGGACTTGGTGGCTCATGTGCTGGGACCTTTTCAGATCCTGTTCTTACTCTTTCCAACATTTTTCCTGAGTTCCTTTTTCTCTTTTTTCTTAAATTAAGACACCATTGTCAGGAGAACTTGCCTGTGGGTCTTGGCTTCTCACTTAATAGTTGTGTGACCTTGGGCAAGTAAATGACTCGTTCTGAGCCTCAGCTTCCTCATGAATGGGAACAACAGTACCTAACTCATATGGTTGGTATTATGATGAAATGAAACATTCCATATAAAGTGCTTAGCAGCTTGGCACATAGTAAGTGCTCAGTAAACATAAACATTAGCTATCATTATCATTATCATTATTATTGTTCTCAGTGTACATTTGTTCTTGTTCCTTCTTTTTCCTTTTTCCTTTAAAGTATTGTGAGATGGGAGATTGTGAGGAAGAATTATTCCTAAATATTATGACCAAAGCCTCAAGCTGATTTTTGAATATGGCCCGCGGGCTCATTTTTCAGTTGCATCAGATAATCATAGGATGTCAGAGTTGCTTCTGGGTCATCTGGCTCAAATCATAATTTCACAGACAAGGAAACAGACTGGCATTTACCTGGTCGTTCACTGCAATTTACTTACAGGCCAAAGAAAGAGCACCTAGGCGGTTTGTCTAAAATCTCACAAACCCAGGTTTCTAGAAAGAATGGTGCATGCGTTTGTGTATGTGCCTATGTGTGTGTATGTGTGTGTACGTGTGTGTATGTATGTGTATGTATATATATGTATGTACGTGCGTATGTGTATGTATATGTGTATATGTGTGTGTATGTGTGTGAGCGCGCACATGCCTGCCAGCAGTGGAGAAGGGAGTGGTGTGTTTTGCTTTGAAGGAAGAACAGGTGCAAATGATGCAACTCAGCATCTGATAAAAGTTTTTGGTAAAAGTTCAAGTTAATAAGACTACAGTGCTGAGTATCAGGTCTACCAAAGTCAAGGACATTTTTGGGGAGGAGAGGACCAAACCAGAAGCCATCTACCTTCTGTTTTTAGATTAAAATCAATGATGGGAAAAGTCGGGTCAAAATAGGGAAGTCCATCTTCTGGTCACCTTTGTGGGAATGTATCTATCCCATGTTAATGGGGAGAATTTGTACCTCATGGATTTAAAGAATGGGGCTGCTGGGGACAAGGTGACTGTGGGGGAAGGTAGAATATGTATTGTCAGTTTTAGTAGCATTTAAAATTCCAAATGGAAGGCAAAGAAACACCTGTAGCCAGTGTATCCCAGTTCCAGGGACGGGGACAAAGAAACACTGTCACAGTCACACACAGTGCTCAGAGTGCCAAATGGACTAGCGGCTGTTAACCCTGGCTGAAGTTGGAATCCCCTGGGGAAGTTAAAAAAGAAAGAAAGAAAGAAAGAAAGAAAGAAAGAAAGAAAGAAAGAAAGAAAGAAAGAAAGAAAAAGGCCTGACCGCAATCCTTAGAGATTCTACTGAATTGTTCAGGGTGGAGCTCAAGGGCATCCCAACACTCTCCTTTTTAAGTTGTGCAGTGAGTCTGCTGAACAGTCAGGGTTGAAGAGCACCCATTGTCATTTGTTTTAGTCTCCTTGGTCACCAGACTTTTCCTTTTCGGTGGTGGTGGTGGAGTTGGCGGCGTGGTGGGGGTTCCTGTCCTTTCCCAGTGGTGAAGGGGCTACTGACCAAAGGCAGGCAGCTGGAGGGTCCGGCTGGATGTCACGGGTGATGGGTGAACAGTTTTGGATTGAGAGGACGATGCAGGAGAGTATCAACAGCTTGTCTCTTTTTGATGTTTCAGATCCGAGAAGCCTTAAAGCTAACATTAGGTCATCATCAATTCAGACTGAAATGGGTTGGCTTTGAAGTAAACAAAAAATAGCAGACATCTACTGATCTGGAGTCTCCTCACACAACTTCGGATTTTGAGTGAATTTTAGTTTTTTAAGTTCCTAGTGGATGAGAATTTGAAATAACTCCAGCTAGATGAAGAGGCTAACTGGTGGACTCGCAGACCTACACCCAACACAAAAGAAAACTACATATGCAAGCTGCGTCCCTGGATTTTATAGCACGAAATAGGTAAGCAGGAGAAGATGGAGTGATTAGGGAACAATAACCTTGAGAAATGACAAGCAAACACGAACAAGAAAAAGGAACCCCCAAAATCCTGAAACAAACCCCATTACTCTCTCTGAGGAGTTAAGAGAGGACAGTAGTGGTCTGGGAAGCTAGGTGGGGTCTTCCGTCCAAATAAAGTGGACACTTTCTTTACCTACAACAAACTAGTAAAGAGATTTCAAATTCTCCAGAATGAGGAGCTAAGGGTGTTATCACAATACAATGCACGTGAATGCTCGCTGTTTGTCCTATATCTAAGTATTTCTTACCTGTAAGTTGTGAAATTCTAAGACTTTGCTCTTAATGTTAAAATAATGTCCCTGCAAACATTTTCTTTCTGGTTTCTCTCCAAGCGTCCTAATCACCTAGATATACGCTAGAAGTAAGAGGGTAATATGTCAAACACAGTAGCAACTTCAGTCTGAAATGCTTAAAGTTAAAGTTTATTTGTATTCTTTGTAGGATTATCAATAAAAGACCTCAAACATTATCTATATCTGTACATGTACAAGAACCATCAAAAATTATTCACAGAACAAAAATAAATCTTCTTTAGAACAAACCCAGGTAATGAAATGCAGATATGGATCTCACATATGGAACTATCTAAGTGCTACCAGCACAAAAATATGGCTTTAAAAATAAAATAAAATCTTGGGTTTTGTTTTTCTAAGGTGTATTTCTCTTTCTTGAAATCAAAAATAAATTATTTAGAGCTACCCTTGTAACATAGTCATGTGTATTAACACCCGTTTATTAAGGCCCTGGAGATGAAACACAAAAGCAAATTTGGAAGGTCAAGTGCTCACAGGTGTGGTTCAGGTTAGTGCGCTGCTGTCTGCTTGAGTTAACTGTAACGTAACTAGGCAATACCTAAGCACCAGTCAGAAGCTGACCTTCACTGTTTAGCTCAACTTCCCTGCACGATAGTGGTCATGGAATCAGTTGGTATTTAACCTTTTGGTGAACTGGGAATTGAAATTTTCCCTTGGGAGTTTAGAAATGACATAAATATGCTATTTATACATAAATATTGGTGCCCCCACACAGATGCTAGAGACCCCTAAAACACAGCTTTTGTGGAAATCGCTCTACAACAACAGATAAATCTGTTTGTAAGTCCCAAACTGGAAAATTTCCTAGGCAAAGACGAGGGCACTTGAATACAAAAATAAGAACTGAGTAGGAAATTAAAATGCATGCTGAAATTTGGGCAAAAGCCACCATTTTGCTTTCGTTGGGCGGCTGGCCGCATTTGCCAAGTCCTGCTGAGCCGGTTACTCAGTCACCTGAGGATTAACTGATCAGGAGCCAAAACAACCTCTTTCTGGACCCTACCATCAGATCAGAGATTCAGCTTTCTAAGACCCCCCCCCAAGGTATCAATAATGATATCTAGGGTTCTTGAGCTAACATCAAACCAAATCAATTTCAAGTTTACTTTAACTTACATATATTTACATATAACACATATGGTACATTTTAAAGAAAAGAGAA